TTTTTTTTTTTTTTTTTTGAGAAGGGGGAAGACAAAATACAGCACGGGCATTGTTACGTTTGATTCATTTCAAGTTTGGCTTTCTCTTATCGTAGAAGCATGTCTCTGCACTTTTGTAGAGTGAATGGAAGCATTTAGGTGTGAGACTATTATTATAAAAGGTGAAGGACTTTTATGGTTCTCTTTGCAACAAACACAGGAATTTTACGATGAAGCTATGATGGGAAATTAGAAACCAAGTGATCGTACTTCACAGGCCAATTTTTGAAAAAATATTACTTTGTTGTTTGATCAGGTTATCTTTAAGATTTTAAAAAATTACACTAATCTTTGCATCCTGTTGCGAAGCTTCTACGTTGTGTATGAGTAAACAGTCTGTTTTTAGCCGATTATTGAGCGTTTTCTTTTTTTTCGCAGCCGGCCTCAGTGCATAAACGAAACATGATTTATAGGCAAAGCTTTGATGTCGAAGAATTCAGATTGCACTGTTTTAGAATTTCGCTGCGTCAGGGTATGCAGTTAAGGTAGTTTCGTTGGATAAAGCAATGCTTCTATGGTTTCTTTGTAGTGCCTTATGCGCATTTTTCGTTCCAAATTTTTTAGTTGTTTTTGGAATTCGAGATATACTATTGCCTTTTAAGCTGGATATTTAGCGCTAAAATCGGACTAAAGTAATCAATTTGGTACTGCATATATTGACGTGCACGTGTTCAGGTCTTGGTTAATTTTTCTAATCCGTTTTATCATAAAATTTAATTGAGAGATCAGTTGGAAGTGTTTTTGCTTGATGGTCGAAAACCTTTGCTGGAGATTTGTTTAGTGGAGAAAGTACATGGTCTGTTCGAAGTTGCTTTTAAGCCGCTTAGCTTTTTTCATGTTGAAATTGATATATCGCGGTTATATTCGTTTTTTTCTTTGTTTATCAATTTAAAATAGCAGGTAGCGAAGAAGCTTTACTGGGAAGTCAACTCATCTGCAGTTATGTGAAGTCATTTTTAGTTTGCCAACGAAATGATATTTATGACTGATACAACCTGTCAGTATATGGGACAATTTTCTCTCAGGCTTTTTCTTACCGTGCAATAATAAAAGAATTTGTCGAATTCGTATTTTAGCATCGGTCGCCAATCTGCTTATTGGTCTTATGGCAAATAATATTGGCTGTCTGAAATGAGTGTTAGTAGTGTTAGAAAATAAAACGCTTATTTTTGTTTTTTAAACCTTTTTTCTGAGAGGAGCTTTCTGATATTTGTCACGGCATAGTTAAAACTTATTTTGACACAATTTTACCGTGTTGCTTATGGGGAAGAATCATGAGGATCTTTGAAATTAAGCAGCAGTGAATGTAATCTGTGGTTTTTTCGTTGTCGCGAACGCTGAATAAAAAGGTAAAAACTTAGCACTTTAGCTAACCAGTATCTGTTGTCAAGCAACATAGTACGCATCAGTTTAAACTTCTTATTATATTTATATCTTTATTCATTTCTTCATTCTGTTAAAGGAATACTTTTGCTTTTATTTGAATGTTTTTAAACGGCTAACATTATATATTTACACTTACGTGTGTAACGATGATGATAATGATGACGAAATCAGATTATTTCATTAGGGGTAGAAGCGTTCTAGATTATAAATGTTGAACATCTTGGAATAAAACGAAAAAAATAAATTAAAAAGGATAACAGGAGATAGCAATAAGTATTTGGCAAGACTTTTACGCAATTAATTGCTATGGTGGGTACATCGCTATTCCAAATGTCATCATTTGCATCTTATTCGTCCTAATGGGTTGGACTATCATCTGTTAATGGCTTTTTCGCTAATGCTAACAAGTAATATTGCTACAGAGTAAGTATCCAGCTGCTTTATGGTTCAGCTAAGATATTTGTTTTCAGTTCTCTTCTAGTTTATCGGCTGTTCTCAAACGCAACAAATCCCTGTGAAACGCCATCGTTTTTGACTTTATTTTTTTTACTTTTTGTCGCTTAATTATTTTGTGACTGCCATAGTACTGGTGTAGTAGTTAGTTAAAGCCAAAAAATATTAAATTAGAAAACCTGCGATGACTTTGACAATCACAGCAGCTTAGTAGATGAAAAATATTTTAAGACAAACAGTCCATTGATTTTCAGGCGTTATTTGCAGCTTTTTTTCTTAGCTTTTTCCAGTGACTTTCACTCTTAGCCGGCAATTGAAAGAAAGAAAAATTTTATACTTTTGTTCTATTTTTACAAACAAAATCTACTGTCTTAATTCATTTTATGTGATGTTGCTGTTATTTTTCTGAACACCGATTTTTGCTGGTTGCTGGAAATTAATCTTACTTTTCTTACCAAGTGTCTTTGAACTTTTCGCAATACTTATAGATGAAGATAAGTGAAGATTAATTTTGGATCGATGTTTTGAAATTTAGCTGTTGGTGTAGACGAACAAGTAGATAAATGCATGACTTGACCAAAGAAGTAAAACCTCTGCAGCTACTATAGTTCACAATGTTAGCTACGATTGCCTACTAGGTAAATTTTAACCGCTGCAGTGAATATATTTTCATATTCACAGATTTTGTGGCTCGAAAAGAAGGTATAAATTGGGTTGAAAACAGCTGGTGGGAAATGTTTTGAAACAGTCTTTTTTTCAATACATGTGTTATATGATCACAAGCAGAACCTGAAATCTGGACAGCTCAGAACGAAATTTTTTTGGTTCTTACCACCTTATCTTTTCCAGGTGTAATAATCGGAAAACTAAATTGCCAGTGTAGTAAAACAGCAGAAAGGTTTTAATTTTAGGGTAAAATTGACTCTGATACGGCAGTAAGTCTTGTTTTGAATGACTCATTCAGCAGTGGTGCGAGCTCGTGGGACTTGTCCTGATGTCAAAGGAGTAGACAGATTCAAATATTTCCACAGGTTCGTGTCTTTATTTCGCTTCACTTTTTTTGAAAGAGGGGAGCGTGTAAGCCACTGAAACCTTAGAGAATTTAAGATTTTGATTTTGGCATAGGCTGTTTTGAATAAAACAGTAATTAAATTTAGGTTTGATTTTTTTAGCACTAAGTGACTCTAAGAATGTTTATAACTGAGGACGAGGCTGTAAAAGTTTAGTTTTGGGATCTTGAAGAAGCGAGTTTACCTTTTTTTGGATGATGATTGTTGAAATGGATAACTTTTGATGCGACCAAAATTTCAAGAGCAGAGTTTTAGATTTTTACTTAGTAATGAGTTGCTGAAACTCTTTAAAGTAATGTTTAATTTTAATGAAGTGCTTGGAAATCTCTTGTCTTGTAATTATAATTGAAGTTATCTTGTGCAATAGTTGGCTATGATTATATTTTTTAATTGCAAAAAAACTCGTAATGACATTTCCCAAAGTGACGTTTTAGACAACATTCTTGAACACAGGATAATAATTGAAAGACTTCACCAGTTTTACAAAGAAATTTCTCGATACGATGAATCTTATAATTCTTTATGTTAATTATGGCTTTATTTCAGTCCTATATTTGGTGGCGTTAATAAAAATGGCTTGAACATTGATAAAAAAATGGCAACCCTTGAATTACCACAACTAAATGTTGACTTTTCTAAGTAAAATCCTATTTGCTCCATATTA